TTATATATATATATATATATGAAAAATATATCAAAATGCATGTGGGTACTCAAATAAAAGCTCTTGAAGAGTGTATCATCGAGATGAGCTTATATCTTTATAAATGTAAAAAATTTGGAAAATCCAAAAGTGCACGCCTCATAACACTCATTCATTTTTTAAGAAAAAATAAATTGTGTAATTGATTAAAAAAGAAAAAAAATTATGATTAAGTAATTTCTTACAGGGAATTTTTTTTTTTTTTTTTAATATCAGAATTAATTTATAATATATTTAAAACTTTAAAATTATTGAATTAAATTAAAATCTTTTCTTAAAAGAAAGTAGTAATATGATAGATTATATATTAATATCTTTATTGACAGGTGTATTTGATGCCTGCCCCCCCGACCAGCAGCACTCGCTTCGCTCGTGCCGCAAATGTCGGGGGCAGATATCAATTTTTTTCAACGCAATTTTTAACGTACTTTCGTCCGCATAGTAAGAAAACTAGTATACACTACATGGGCAGAAATTTGAGAGCCCTGAACTGCGTGCCATGATGCCCTTGGCTTCGCCTCGGGCATATGGCGCGCAGTGCAGGAATCTCAAACTTTCTGCCCTTGTAGTGTAATATACTATTCATTTAAAAGAGTATTGCACGCCTCATAGCCCGAAGCGCGTGAAGTTGTACTTACACTCGAGTTATACTCGACTCGTCAAGGTCAAGCAATTTTGTGATCATTAAATGCCTCTATCACAACCATATTACACTTACACAATAATATAAGTAGATGTACACTGAAAAAACACTTAAACTAAACCATCTTTTACTTTCAAAAATCATTTCATGTTGCTATTTTGAAAAAAAAAAAACGTTTTGAAAAAAATTTTACGTGGACGTCCGGATGTCACCCCATTTTGGATGTACCAACGATTACTCCCGAACAAATGGATATTTCAAGACCGGACAATTTTTATTTGTTTAAGAATTCGATGAACTGGGTCTGTATTTCATATCAGTGGCCTAGTTTACGTATTTTTTTTTTAAATTGAATTTTTATTAAAATTCACTACGATACAGCCGTACAAAGACAAATGAACTTTTCTTATTTAGACATGAAAACTATGGCGCCACTTGATCAAGCTAGATTTTTTTAGACTGCATGCGCATATGACAAGAAAAAAGGGCGCCAATATTTAAGAAAAAAAATAAAAAATACTCTGTAAGAAATTACTTGATTATATTTTTTTTTTTTTAATCAATTACACAATTAATTTTTTTCTTAAAAAATGAATGAGCGTTATGAGGCGTGCACTTTTGGATTTTCCAAACTCTTTTGATCTAGGACTTTGCGAAAAATAGATTTTTTACATATTTTTATAAGTTCAAATCCTCAAAAATATTTTTTTACAAGGAGTTTTCAAAACTTCATATAATAAAAAATAGGCTATCTTGACTCAAGGACAATATTATTGACTAAAAACCCACATTAAAAAATTTTTCGTCATTGTGTTAAAAAACTTAATGTTAAATATTTAATACTTCTATGTGTAAATTTAACATTTATTCTGTTAAATCAACACAAAAAAGTGTTAAATATTTAACATCAAAATTTTTAACACAAAATTTTTTGACGCAATGACGCAAAATTTTCTACTGTGCACTTATAAGATGACCAAAATTTTGAGTGAAAAATATTTTATTTTTAATTTTGAACATTTAGCGTAATTTTCTAAATCCTCCAATTTGACCAATCTGTAACTTTTTAGATTTTGTTTTGTTTGGGTTTAAATATTTTGCACACCTCATAACGCAAAGCAGTTGAAGTAGTACTTTACTCTCAAAACGCCAAGGTCAATCAATTTTGTGGTTTTCAAATGCCTCTATTACATATTGCACTTATAGATATTTTCTGAAAAATAATTTTATGTAGCTACTTGAAAAAAAAAAAAAAAAAAAAACGGCTTGAAATAAAATCCACGCAAACGTCCGGGTGTCTGTACGCTGATTTTGTAGCGGGAAGTTAAAAAATCAGAAAATACTCTGTAAGAAATTTCTTAATGATTTTTTTTTCTTTTAAATAAATTACACAATTTTTTCTTTTCTCAAAAAATGAATTAACATTATGAGGCGAGCACTTTTGGAGTTTCTTAACTTTTTTTAAAAATCAATAAATAATCTAGTAAAAAAAAGTAGACATTAAAAATGTTATTTCTTTTTTATTATCTTACTTGAAAAAACGCTTAAAATTAATGTCGCTATACCAGAACGCTCCCATATTTATAAAGCGTGATTGAGTAATTGATAGGTAATAAATTTATAGAATTACAGATCGGCGATATAAATAACAAACAATTTACCAAGGTATTGGATCAAATTCAGCTGCCGGAAAAAACTTCTACTAACAAAGAACCAGAAAGCAAAAAAACAATCTATTATCCGGAAAATCAGAACAAAAATGTAATTAAAGAAGATCATGGGAAATATTTATTGAGATTAAATGATTCAGTACCTAAAAGTTCATTATTTCCAAACGGAAATAAAGGTGACACGGTAGGATTGAAATTCTTCATCAATGCATATCAATTTTAACTAAACGAATGCTAACATACTGCAATTTGGTTTGCGTTTAGGCTGTGAATAAATATAATCAGATATTTTTAGAGAACAATGACCTAAAGATTAAGGACTTAGATGCTAAAAAAACTGTAAATAGTGATTTGACTAACGAACGAGAGGAAAATGGAAATTTTGACAATGCACCGGATCAAGGAGCTGTTGCTCTCCCGAAAAATAATGATGTCAACAAAATGGAACAGTATAAGCAATTGATGATGCTTGAAAATTGCGATATTGTTTTGAATGTCGAACCCATCGAGTGCCCGATTTGCTTCGTTGTTTACGATCCACTTGAGGGTGTTTTACTCAGGGATTGTTTGCACTCATTTTGCAGGTATGTTTTGTTTAAGTTGTTTTTGATTTTTTGTAACCTAGAAATTTCAATGATTTTGTTCTTAAACGAAACACGAAATTGAGTAATTGTGTACATGGATAGAGATATTCGTTTAAAATTATAGTTAAGTTCATGAGAAAATTCACCGGATCGTTTCTTACTCTAAAATATTACTGTATCATTTATTAGTCACAGCAATACTTTCTGAAATTTATGTTAGTTAAATTTACTGGAATCTCCAGTAAAATAAAAAAATTTTAATACATATCACCGCAAACATAGAAGAGAATTATTATTATCTTTGGCATATTTTTATCATTGGAATAAATTATTGAATAAAAAATTATTAATGTCATTGAAGTACATTTTTACTAATAATATTTAAACTAATTGCATAAAACTTTGTTACAATTAATAGTAATTTAGCAACAAATATTTTCAAAAATAATTTTTCTCCATTGAGAAAAGAACAATTTTTAATTTTTCAATATAATAATAAAAAATGTAAAAAAATAATGAAGTAAAAAAATAAAATTGACATTTTTGAAATTTTTCTCTAAATTTTTGCCTAAAATTTGTTTACTAGAAAAAATTATTATTCAAAGAGAAAAATTTATATTTAGCGACCAGTCTGATTTATTTATTTTTGCTTCAATAAGAAAATATTTTCAATAAAAATTATAAATATATTTATTGATTTAATTAATATTGACCTTATTTTTATATTCTACTTTAGGGGATGTATGGAAAACACAATTAAATATTGCAATGAAGCGGAAGTGAAATGTCCATATCGAGATTCAGACTATACCTGTGAATCAACACTGCAGGAGCGTGAGATAAAAGCTGTAATAAATATTTTTTTTTTTATTATTATTTTATTATGACTAAAAAAAAATAAACAGGAGGGTGAATGTAGGTGTTGCTTGGCTACAGCTGGGATATCAATTTTTTATTTTTATTCCTCGAACATTGATAATAATAATAACAGTAATAAAATAACGGCTTTATTTATCGGCTTTCATCATCTTTTTTATCAATAATTAAAAATATTTGGAAAAATAATTTTTTATAATCCCATTTTATCGAGCGGAATGTTTTATTATTGCATTTTTGAAGGACAATTTTTTTTTTATTGTCATTAATCCATTGAGCAATGTTTTTGTAACAAAAAAGTATTGTTGCATTTTTCAGTAAATTCATGCATGAATTTCATTTTTAATCAGATTTTTGAATATTGTAAGCATTTTTTGATATTGATATCGTGATTACTAGAACATAAATTGCATTGCTGACTTATAAAGTAAAACGGAAGAAAAAATTATTTTCCTGCTGACAAAAAAAAAGAAAAAAAATTAGTAAAAAACAAAAAATGTGTCTTAGCCTGTCGAATTCTGTATGAAAAATTGTAATTTAAAGAAATGGTGACGTAATTTTAATTACTAATGTTTCGTAGTTGTGTTTTAGATGAGATATATGAGGCACTTGCGCTAATTATGAATCAGCTGACTTTGTTAAGACAACAGATTGATTTAGTAGTATTACAAACTGTGCGCAGCCCCTTTATTTATGAATGAGGAGGAAGAAAGTTTGTGATATGTATAGGCAAATGAAGCTTTGCCAGTGGAAAATTAGTTGTAATGATAAAAATAATTTTGCACATTTTGTGATGACCAAAAAAATTTTTTCCGTCAACGAAAAAATTTTTATCACATCTCTGACTATGCAAGTCTGATCAGATCTACCCGGAAAAAATGATCAGACCTGACCATGCCTGTTCATGTATGATCAGGCCTGAATTCAAGTGACTTTCATGATGAATTACGAAATATTATTTTGCGTATTGTGTTCTTCTACTTCAAAAAATTTATCCAGATAGAAGTTTAAGAATCGTAAATAATGAGTCGGCGTAAGTTAAACTAAAAATTCTAATATAACTGTCTCCAAATATTTTTACACTGATTAAAAAAATTAAGTTTTATGTGCGATTTGTTTCAAATTCATCATGAAGTTCATCTGGAATTCCAGCTGACTTTCATGATGAATTACGAAATATTATTTTGCGTATTGTGTTCTTCTACTTCAAAAAATTTATCCAGATAGAAGTTTAAGAATCGTAAATAATGAGTCGGCGTAAGTTAAACTAAAAATTCTAATATAACTGTCTCCAAATATTTTTACACTGATTAAAAAAATTAAGTTTTATGTGCGATTTGTTTCAAATTCATCATGAAGTTCATCTGGAATTCCAGCTGACTTTCATGATGAATTACGAAATATTATTTTGCGTATTGTGTTCTTCTACTTCAAAAAATTTATCCAGATAGAAGTTTAAGAATCGTAAATAATGAGTCGGCGTAAGTTAAACTAAAAATTCTAATATAACTGTCTCCAAATATTTTTACACTGATTAAAAAAATTAAGTTTTATGTGCGATTTGTTTCAAATTCATCATGAAGTTCATCTGGAATTCCAGCTGACTTTCATGATGAATTACGAAATATTATTTTGCGTATTGTGTTCTTCTACTTCAAAAAATTTATCCAGATAGAAGTTTAAGAATCGTAAATAATGAGTCGGCGTAAGTTAAACTAAAAATTCTAATATAACTGTCTCCAAATATTTTTACACTGATTAAAAAAATTAAGTTTTATGTGCGATTTGTTTCAAATTCATCATGAAGTTCATCTGGAATTCCAGCTGACTTTCATGATGAATTACGAAATATTATTTTGCGTATTGTGTTCTTCTACTTCAAAAAATTTATCCAGATAGAAGTTTAAGAATCGTAAATAATGAGTCGGCGTAAGTTAAACTAAAAATTCTAATATAACTGTCTCCAAATATTTTTACACTGATTAAAAAAATTAAGTTTTATGTGCGATTTGTTTCAAATTCATCATGAAGTTCATCTGGAATTCCAGCTGACTTTCATGATGAATTACGAAATATTATTTTGCGTATTGTGTTCTTCTACTTCAAAAAATTTATCCAGATAGAAGTTTAAGAATCGTAAATAATGAGTCAGCGTAAGTTAAACTAAAAATTCTAATATAACTGTCTCCAAATATTTTTACACTGATTAAAAAAATTAAGTTTTATGTGCGATTTGTTTCAAATTCATCATGAAGTTCATCTGGAATTCCAGCTGACTTTCATGATGAAATTCATATTTGTTTCACAATCTGAAGTTCATCCCCACACTAAAAAAATATATATGCGCATATATGCTGGCAAAAATACATATACGTCGCACATATAAAATATATACGCCACATACTTTTTTTTTGCCCCCGTATATGCGGCATATATTTTTTTTCAGTACGGGTCCGGAAATTCATCCGGAACCAAAATTTTTTTTGTACGGGAAATTAGACATGGTCATGCCCGTTCATGTCTGAAGCGTTAAATACGCTCAGGCCTAATCATACCTGTCCATGCCTGTCCATGCTAAGGATCAAATATGCTAAGAAAAATTTTTTGAATATGTTCAGTGTATGTACATTAATTTCGATTAATAAATTTTTAAATTATCAATAAACGGCATATTTTACTATTCGATAAATAAAAGTATTTTGTTTATCATTGAAAACCTACCGCAGGGTAAATTTAATTAAATTTTCTAGGCATGGACAGGCATGATCAGGCCTGAGCACATTTAATGCTTCAAACATGAACAGGCATGGACAGGCATGAACAGGCCTGATCAAACATAAACAGACATGAGCGTATTTAACCCTTCAGACATGAACACGCCTGATCAGACCTGAGCGTATTTAACCCTTCAACATGGACAAGCCTGATCAGGCCTGAGCGTATTTGACGCTTCAGGCATGAGCAGGCATGAACAGGCATGGACCGGCATGATCATGTCTAATTTCAGGCCTGATCATACATGAACAGGCATGGTCAGGTCTGATCATTTTTTCCCGGGACTCTATTAGAAACATATTTTTACTTTCCTTTCATGCTTACTGTTCAATTTTGACACTAGTTTGAATGCTTAAGGAGGTTCATCGGCAAGAAAAAAACACCAATAGATTATGGCTATTGGTTTCTTTCTCACGCACTAGTGCTGCCTCTCTTTACAGACTATCGCTCACTTACACAGTAAAAAATTTTACGTCAATGCGTCAAAAAAATTTGTGTTTAAAATTTTTATGTTAAATATATTTAACACTTTTTTGTGTTAATTTAACACTTTTCTGCGTTAATTTAACAAAATAAATGTTAAAGTTACACATAAAAGTGTTAAATATTTAACACAAAAATTTTTAACACAAAATTTTTTGACGCAATAACACAAAATTTTTTGTGTACTTACACTCACGTAAAATATCGAAAGTCGCTAACTTCAAAAATTTTTTATAAAAAAATGAATACCGCTCGTTTATGTTATTTTTGATAAAAAATACTTGTTATAACTTCAATTGAATATTCTCATTTTTTCAAAAAGAATCCTAAGAAAAGTATGATTGTTATTTAAAAAATGTTCACTCTAACTACGGTCAGGATAGGGAATACATGTTAGATGTACAATTTTTAATTGCTAATATTTCGAAAATCAGCACGGCAAGGACTATTAAAAAAAATTTAATCGTTTAGAGGACACTTAAAAGTACGCATTTTATTCAAAAATTGAAGAATATTATAAGAAAAGTGATTTTTTACGGAACCTCCTTAAGTGCGCAGACTCACCTCACAGAATTCTATATTTTTCAGTAATTTCATCTTTTTTTATTTTAAAGAAATCATTTTTACGAGTAATACAACTGCAATATAAAAGCGGTGATTCAAATTAGGAAAAAAGATTGACCTTGATAAAGGTACGCGTTATGTGACGTGCAAAAAAAATCACCTCATAAGCTTGTATAAAAACAAATGAATTAATTACTCATTTAATATGTAAAGTAACAGTTGATAAACACGAGTCAAATGAGATACAAAAACTCAAAATGTATGTTCCTATAGAGTAATAAACTCATTAATTATCTCCGCATAAATATAACAGACTAGCGTATTTACCACGAATCATTATATTTTAATGCAACATTTCATTTCCCTCTGCGACGGCACTTTTAATCTCCTAGCGCATCATTCGACAGTAGTTATACACAAAAAACCAAATACTGTTTCATTACTTATTCATTGTTCGGTTGATGAATAATTTAAAGGTAGTTTATTTATTTACCGAAATTTTATGGGAAATAATTCCGTAAATTCAATGATTTATTCAGTGTTGAGTCTGGTTAGCGATTCCGGTTTCCATTAAAATTAAAAATTCTATTAAAATATCGAATAAGTATTTGTGTTTGCGTACACCAACAAAAGAATTGCAGAAGAAGATAATTTAATAGTTCTATCACCATTGTGCGGAGCTGCAATTAATTAAATTTATTTTTACAATTTATTTATTGCAAATGCTAATGAAAAATAATTTGTTGTTTATTTTTTAAATACTAATCATATTTATTGTATTACAGTTGGTGAATCCGCAAATTTATGAACAACATCTAGCGAAATCAGTTGCGCAAGCTGAAAATAATGCTGGTCATAATGCATTTCATTGTAAGACACCAGATTGTCCGGGGTGGTGCATCTACGACGATAACGTTAATAACTTTTTGTGTCCTGTCTGCAACAAAAATAATTGCTTGACATGTCGGGTAATAAAATATTTTAAATTATATTTTTTAATAGTATAAAGTTTCTTCATACACTATAAAAAGAATTGGGACTGCAAATTCTCTTCACAAATTATTTACAGTTTAATATCTAGTTTTATCATCACAATAAGGAAACAGTGTTTAATTTAAATCCGCAGATTAATTTAAAATAACGTAAAAATACGTAGTTAATATTAATAAATTTGTTTTATTTAAATATGAATCACTTTGAACCATACCTACACTATTTTGTTTTAGTTTATTACAATTAGAAAAATTGTATAGAATGGTTTTGTGTGATAGTTCAAATTTTAGATTTTTTAATTTGTTTTCTTGTATTTAAAGGTAATTCATGAAGGCAAGAATTGTTTTGAATACCAAGATGACGTGAGGATATCCAAAGAAAGTGATCAAGAATCTAAGCGCACCGCAGCTATGTTAGCTGAAATGTTGAGGCGCGGCGAAGCAATGGCATGTCCTACTTGTGATGTTGTTTTAATGAAGAAAATGGGGTGTGACTGGTTGAGGTGCTCAATGTGCAAAACTGAAATTTGCTGGGTCACCAAAGGACCACGCTGGGGACCTGGGGTAATTATTAATTCTTTAGTTTTTTTTTTTTTATTTTGTAACGGTTTGGTTCCTGCTACTATGTCGCCCCTTATTTAATTTATTAATTTAAGGGCGCCACTGAAATTTTTATCACGGTTTTCAGAACCGGTCCGAGCTATGAGAGATATCTAAGGGTCGAGAGAGATGATAGTTAGGTTAACACAAATAATAACAATTAATTTCAATATAAACTCTAAATTTATTCAAATGACTTTTACAATAGCCTCGAATATTATAATTATATCTCACACACACACACTCTTATACAATATCAAAATATCTTAATCCTACAGCACCCTCTGAGGGAGCGTCTATGCCGCAGTTTCTAATAAAATTTCCTATTTCTAACAGCACCCTCATATGGAGCGTCTATGCCGCAGTTTCTATCATAGTCCCTATTCCTGACAGTACCCTCATATGTAGCGTCTATACCGCAGTTTCTAACTAAATCGCGCTGTCCACTGGACCCTCACGCTCTAAGACTCTAGATCTGACCTTGGGTGGTCGCCCGGACCCCTGCCCAAGGTTCAAACCGTCCTTAGCCCTTTTGCTGTCGCCCGGACCCTCACTACGGGACTAAGGAACCTGAAGTCGACTAGGACAGAGGAGGATACCATGAAACTAGTCGACAACCTGGTAATACTAACCTCCTCGACAGCCCGTGAACGAGGAGTATATAATGTAAATTCATTCCACACACACACACTTTTTAATAAAACAAATTATCTAATTATTACACTATTTCTAATTATAATATAAAATAACTCACTTAATTCTATTTAACAATATTACTAAAATTCGCCTTTACAATACCCTTCCTGGGATTTCAACTCAAACTATCCCGGTTCTTAATCTTGACTTCGATAAATATTTAAAATTAAATTTAAGTTCTAGTTTCATATTATTATTATTATTTAATTTATCACAGAAAATTTTTAGATTTATTTTAACTGAATTTAATCTGCCTGATTACTCGGCTTAGCATCCATTTTGAATTCCAAAGAGGATTTGAGAAACGAGTATTATTTTATGCTACATTTTACAAGGTCAAAATTTTAATGTAAATTTTCTCAATAATTATTTGTTGGAATTTGGACAAATTTATTTATCGAAGTCCTGAACAATTTAATTTAATAATAAATTTTGTTTTAATAATTTTGTTATTTTAATTTACTAATTTATAATTAATTTTAATTTTCAACGATTGATAAATTTCAATTTTCACTTTTCGAATAGTTTTAGTACTGAGGTTAAATTTTATTTATTAATTTAATTTTAACTCAATTAATTTTGGTGTTGATTTTAATTTAATTATAATTTATTTTAAAATTTATTTAACGGATTTTACTTTTACACTTAACCACTAATTTGACTTTTTATCAATTTTAATTTTATAAATTTTATTTTAATTTTGACTTAAATTATTTCTTAATTTAATTTGATAATTTTAACTTCGTTGAATTTCGATTTTAACTTATTTTAAATTTCGGAATTTTCTTAATATTAAATTTTGATTAGATTATTCCTAACCTCGACTTTATAAATTCAGATATTAAATAAATTCAATTATTATTAATAAATCTAGTGATTGGAAGCAGGAACCTGGCCAGTGCCTAGAATTCCTCGAGCAGCGTAGTTTATTTCACAGAGGTTAATTTTCGATACCTGGGATTGTTATAAATTCCTGGAGACTACAGATGTTATTCCAATTCGTAATCAGGTCCCGGTGCAACAGCTACAACAATCTTCAGTATGGCTGCTTCGTTTTACTTCTACGCTGCTTTTGGTTATTTTTCGGCGTTGTTAGTTATCTGTAAGCACAGTACTTGTGTCTTTAGAATTTCGAGGCTGCTTTGTCGAGTTCCGTCTTCACAATCTTTTCTCTCCGTGCGACAACTTCCTTTTGCCTCGGTGCTGTCTTCTCCCCACTCTTGAAGCACTTCCACTCTAGGTCCCAGAACTTATTTTATCGAATTTTAACTGCGCGAGCATCTTAGATCACAGCGCCCTGTGATCCGTCGATAATTAACCATAGTCAGGGTGAGGGCTTTCAATAGATAATAAAGGAGCCCCGTGACAATTTTATAAGGAAGAATTATGATGCGATTTGATACAAGAGAATGATAACTGGGTCAAACATTAATCGTTGTAATGATTATAAAGATTAATGATCATTGCGATTGTCTTCACGTATAAATTTTTCTTTTAAATAAATTTTTCTTCGTTCAAAAATTTTTTAGCTTAACTCAAGATGACCATACTTATAAAATTATATTTTTGATTCAAGATTTTTCTTTGGGAATCAAATTATTTTTTCGACACTTTTAATTAGAAAATTTTAGACTTTTTGAAAACATTTTTATTAAAAAATTTCTTTTTTAGATTTGGAAAATCCTCAAATATTTCGAGAGTTTTAATATTTCCTTTCAATTTTAAGAAAACAAATTGATAAACAAATTTTTTTAATTATTCTTCAAAATTGAGCAATTTTTCATTTACAAATTATTAAAAATATAAATTTTGGAGTTGTAAATAGAAATTAATAAATTTAAAACTTCTTGTCCATAGAATTTACTAATTAAATTTTTCAATTTCCATAAAAATACCGAAATCCATTAATAATTCTTCTCAATTAATGTATTTAAAGTCCATAAATAAATATATCAATAATACTTATTATTTCAGGGCAACGGCGATACCTCAGGCGGATGTCGATGTGGCCAAAACGGAGTAAAATGCCACCCTTGCTGCAATTACTGTCATTAAGCGATCAATTAATTCTTCCTTAATAATGATTAAGTTATTAATTGACATATAATTCATTACTATTATTATAACTATTAAATTTCTGCTTACAATTAATATTGATCCTATGATAATAGTGTCAGGATGGGACGATGCAATAACAATAAATAGACTAAGTTTTTTTTACTATTATTAATTATTATTATTGAAAACAATACAGTGGTATGATTTTTTATTCTTTAAGTTGGTGTTACATTACAATAAATATTTGTTTATAAATTATTATCTTCTTATTTGTATTTTCAAGTTATGAAATCCTATATTACAGGCAGGATCAATATACATTTTAATTAGAACTCTAATTAAAAGATTTAAATAATAATTTAACGTTTCTGGTCAAATTTAAACTTGATTGGTAGAAATGGTTGTTCTGGGGTAAAATCAACACCTTACCCTGATAGCCACCTTATACTATAAGTTCTTGTAGATAAGTTAGCGACAAGTTATCGTTAAGTTAACGTCAAGTCTACAAATGCCCATCCTTATATGCAAGTTGACAATAAGATAGTGCCGATATTTAAAAACAAATTATCTATAAGCTTATAGTAAACTTGAATAGAAAATTTCGGCAACTTAACGGCAAATGTTTCAATACAATTCTTTGAAGTATAAAGTTGACCATAACTTTACGATAACTTGTAGATTAAAACTTATTGCCAACCACTTTTCGTCAAGTTATCTATAATTCGCGGGACTAGGTTATCTGCCCTGATAGCCAGCGCTTTCTCAGTAAGTGTTGACTTCCAGCAGTTACGGTTAATTTATACATCAAGTTGGCGGTAATTCTTCACTCAACAACAGTTGTAAGCAAATTGACGGAAATCTACGGCCGCAACTTGAATACAAGTTAACAATCAAACTTATAGTTAAATTTCCTTTCAACTTTACTACAATTTGACGGAAATACTTGTACAGCAAGTTTTGACGTCTATTTGCAGAGTAAGTTATAGGTAACTAATAGGTAATCGCTCGCTTTGCCAACTCTTACCGACAAGTTTGCTTCAAATTGCGAACATAGATTGACAGTAAGTTATAGGTAAGGTGGCTATCAGGGTGAACGTTATAGTATGAGATGGCTATCAGGGTACGGTAATTAAATGTTTACACATTTCTTCCTTAACAGCAATCGTTACCTAACCACGCAGAGAAACAAGTGCGAATTTTTATATTTGATGATGGTAAAGCAGATCAAAAATATTTAAAAAATTTACCCTCCCTGATAGCCAAACCGGTCGCAACTTTCCGTTGATTTGCTGCAGCAACTTGTCACCAAGTTAGCGGCAAGTCTTGGAAATGAACTCAGTTGTTCACCAAGTTGTCGGCAGAAATTGCTTTCGAAACTCTTTCGCACCAAGTTGACGACAAGTTTCTCGAGAAATTTGGTGACATATTGCGGCAGTAGATTGGATACTTGTATTATTGTATAAGTGTAATATGGTTGTGATAGAGGCATTTAAAGATTACAAAATTACTTGACCTTCACCTTGCAATATATAAATTCAACGAAATTACTATTATTTTAAATAATCCATATATTTACTAAAATTCTATTATCATCAATATTATTGTTGAAAAAAAAAAATTTTAGGAAAGAATTAGTTTTTTTTTATTAATTCGAGTGAATTTAAAACGAAATTTATCCTTACATTGTTACGTAAGAAATTCTATTTATTGATAATTAATTAATTTTAAATCTTGATGTTAACTAATATTTCCCGTTCTATTAAATATTAAATATTAATCCAATAATCTAATTAAGAATTAATCAATTTCTGTAAACAATTGATCAAAAATTAAATGTATTCTATTAATAATCGATTAACAATTCAATTAACAATTAATCAATCCGTATTAATAATTAGTTAATAATTGATAATTTTGTCCACTTACATGAGTTAACATTTTTCAATTCCACTTTACACTATATTATTATTAACTAATATACAACTTGAGTCATTATTTGTCTCTTTTTACTTTGAAGTATTTACTATTTTTAATATACTTTACTTAATATCATAAATAACAACATTTACACAATTAGATTAAATTAATATTTTTGTACAATCTTATACTATTTTTCTTCGTACTTGACTATCCCATCCAGAAAGTCGACCGAGTAACTTCTACATCAAATTCATTCAAGCATTCAATTGAAAGGCCGCTATCACCGGAAAATGATCTAGAAGAAAAATGAAAATTATAAGCAAAAAATTTCTAGGCTTTCAAAATTTGAAATAAAAAACCAAGAAACAGATTTATACATACCAGATGGAACAAAAGGGTGCGGACAGCCCACTACACTATACATATTGAACCATTCTTGCGGAATGGGGCCGTAGATTCCAAGGCATACCATGTTGGAGGACGAATAAAATATATAATCGATCATCGCCTTGAATCCGTATGTGTAGTTTGTATACGGCATTATCTGCGGATTACAAGCTGATGAAAGTTTTAAAGGGTGGGTAATTCCGCCGTAACATTCCCTTCCCAATATGTTCGAAATCGCATTGAAATAATCAAAACCGTGAATCTCCGGATGATTCAGCGGCAGCTGTCCCGTTGATAGGAACTGAAATACGCCTGAAACCATATTAATGTTAATAATTAAACATAACAATTGCTATTATTAATAATTGACTAAACTTAGAGACTTACCAGAATTCGTCAGTGAATTGAAATCACCGCAGAGTAGCACCTTGATGTCGGAAAATTGGAGGATTTTGTCAGGCCGACTAAAAGAATTCCTCAAGCTATCTACCATGGAGACGATCTCCCTGGTCATCATCATGGATTGTATAATCTTTACGTCTGGAAACTTTGGATCCCAATGTAAGTGAGTATTTGCTACTATGACAAATTGCTCGACATCACTTGGATGAACTGGAGGCCCATGAGTCCAAGCGGCTGCCGTAGTTTTTAATACAGCCAGTAATCCAATATTATCGCGATTGCAGACACGATTAAGCATGTCCTTAGAATATGCAGTATTCTGCATCGCTAGGTCCCTGTACAATATCACCTTCATATCAACGAAAGAAAATCTGAAATTGATAACTATTATTTTAGACAATGAAATTAAGAAAAAAATTATCTTTTGAAAAAAACAAGCCATGTTGGAATTAAAAATTAATTTGTTGAAAATTTTCAAGAATTTTATTTCTTAGTGAAAGAAATTAAAATTTTTCTTAGAGTAACTTTCTTGTTGAAAAAATGTTTTCTAAATTTGGATAAGAACAATTTCTTAAGAAAATTTGCGAATTGTCTATCTGTCACAAAAATGCTAATTTTTTTTAAAGAAATTTTTTCTTTTAGCGTATGATGTTGAGTATAAATTCTGCACAGATAAAAAAATTAGCTCGACGCAAAAAAAAAAAAAAAATTTAGTCAAGAAAATTATTTTGACGATTCTGATGATCTTGAGTCGAGTTGAAAAATTCTTGAACCAAGAAATTTTCATTGATTTAAGTTAATTTTTCTTGTCTCATAAATTTTTCTACTCCATCTAAGATTATCAATTTCTTCAAAATTATTTTCTTGATTCAATTATTTTACTTATAAATCAAGTTTATATTTTTGGTGTAAATATTCAACACTTACTTTTGCGTTTTCCAAAAAATAGCACATCCATCGACGAGCCGTTTTTTTGGATCTGACATCGTCGATACTCGTGACTTTGGAGTGAAGCAGCCACTGTATCCCTTACGTTGAAGATTGGGAAGGAACCAATCGGTATACTGTTCCATCTCGACTTCCTGAAGACTTATTACGTCACACATGTATCTATTTATTTCTGACAACACGTTCTTTCCCCGGACTTGCCAATCTAGGTATTCCGGTTGACAATATCCGTACATGCTCGGATTAGCATAGGAGCTACTTAAAACGTTGTATGTCATTACCGTGAAGACACACGAAGGTCGCGATACTTGCATTGATACCGTATTGACCCATGGCCGGGATGGAGGTGGAGAAGATGTAACTGCAAATTATAAATTCATTGTCATTTTAGAGATATAATATTAGTGAAAGATTTAAAAAAAAAAATTTTTTTTGTGTTAACAAAGGTCAAAATTTGTAATCTTGTCAAAAAATTACACTTGAAAAAAATCAATTGAATGAGTATGAACAAATTTTAAATTTTATTTTTCTATTTACTTTTTGAAAAAATTTTCAAATTATTATAAAGATCCCGCAATAACTAGTTATGTATTTTTTCTTTTTCGGAAACTATGTTTGATTTGATTTAAAAATTTATTTAAAGCGTAATTAGAAAAATAGAATTTCTGATAATACATTCACCACAGCCTACCCTTAATACAATTTTACAGAGTTCATTCAACTTAAATTTTACTACATTTCATAGCAGTATTATAAATCATTATAAGGTAAAGGGCCCAATAATTAAGCGTGATCCAGTTTCTGACTTTTTCAGCTTTAATCGAAATTTCAAAAAAATTTTGGTCTTAAATAACGAGATAAATAAGAAATATCAAGTTTTTTGATAACTTTTTCAATTTATCGATCAGAATATTATCATCCATATATAAAATTGTAATAGTAAATTATCAGGAATGGAGAAAATTAACCGTCCCATATTGCAAAGACGTAATTTGCCGATAAGTCTATTAAATAAAACGAAATCGTTTGATTTTTTATTAACTTCCCGCTAAAAATCTCATATTTTCAAAAATCGGGAAGTTATTGTTTTCACCCCGTTTTACAAAAATCGAGTTTTCATCAGATCTCGACGTTTGAAGGTCACAGGAAGCTTCCCTGACTATTTTTACGATGATGTCCGTACGTCTGTATGTATGTGTGTGTGTGTGTGTGTGTGTGTGTGTGTGTGTGTGTGTGTGTGTACGTAAACAAAAATCGAGTTTTCATCATATCTCGACGTTTGAAGGTCACAGGAAGCTTCGCTGACTATTTTTCGATGATGTCCGTACGTCTGTATGTGTGTGTGTGTGTGTGTGTGTGTGTGTGTGTGTGTGTGTGTGTGTGTAAACCTCTTGTAACTTTTGAATGACTTGACCGATTTCATCGCGGTTGGTGTCATTCGAAAGGGCTTCACTAAACTTAGATTTCCTGAAAATTTGAACCGATTCGGACCGGTAGATTTCGAGAAAATCCAAAAAAAGTGAAAAAAAAGTTGTTTTTTTTTTATTTTTTTTTTTAAATATCTCCGAATTGGCTGAACCGATCGGTCTCAAAAACTAATCAGCTCTTAACCTTGAAAACCCCCATGGATCGCCACCAAAAACGTCAGAATCGGTTGATGCGTTCGTGAGATATCATTGTCGAAAAAAAATCGAAAAAAGTGTTTTTTTGTAATAACTTCGAAATTCATGGCTCGATCGATTTAAACTTGAAAATTTTTCATGGAGCTTCAAAAACTGCGTCGATTGCCGCCAACCGCGTGAAAATCGGTTCATTTATTCAAAAGTTATTGCCATTTGAAAATTCAAAAAATTGTGTTTTTAAACTGCTATTAGAGTTTTGAGCTCGAAGAGCTCAAATTGACACAAAAATAATATTTTTGAGCTCGAAGAGCTCAAAAACGTAATGTGTAGTTTGAAGCGTTTAAGTACAAAATGAGCGGGAAGTTGCAGGGATGGCCTTTAGGGTGAACCGTTTTTCTAATTTTTTTTTTCTTCAAACATCTTACTACAATTTGATCAAAAAAAGATATTTCAAACTAAAAAAAAATTATAATTCTAAATTGAGAGGAAATTTTTTTTTGGAAAAAAATAAACAATGTTGTAATCATAAATTGATTTGTTGAAAATTTTCAAAAATTTTATTTCTTAGCTAAATAAATCAAAACGTTTTTTAAACTAACTTTCTTGAGTTGAATAAAAATTCTCAATTAGTTTATCTAAAATTATTTTTTTCCAAATTCAATAAACTTTCTATCAACAAGAACTTAAGTTACTGTGAGAAAATTTTTGATTTTTTCAGATAAGAAATGAAATTATTAAAAATGATCAACAAACTAATTTCTTATTACAACATTATTGCTCATTTTTTTCAAAAGAAATTTTTCCTCTCAGCGTAATGAAAATAGACATTAATGTGGGCTAGCGATGACCACGTGGAAAAATTCGAAGGTCGATAAAAATTATTTCTCTTATAGCAACGAATTCAAGAATCACTTCACTGAAATTTTTTCGAATTAAGAAAAAAAATTTTTTATACACTTGAAATATGACATATTACTTACCACTTTTTGCCACTTGCTCATTAAACTTGATTCTTTTTATATCTTCTTCAGTCTGAAGTACGTAGAAACAAGTTGCTACAGGTACAACATGGCAGTAAACTGGTATTTGTATCATTTTAAGTAAACTTTGAAACTTAGGTTAAGAACTTTAAACTTGAAGCACAACCGATCACTTAAGGAATAAAACTTGAAATGACTAGGATGCGAAAAGGAGCAGAGCATAAATCCTTCTTTCCCTCAACCTTACGAAATTGAAAAGTAATTTTTGAAAAACTATATTCAAGACTATAGTGAGTACTACTTCCCTTTCGCCGTAGGTCAGATCCTAAATAACGTGCTAATATATCCCAGGTAGTCGGGTAGCTGTCCGCTTCATTTCAAAATAATGTAATGGTCATTTCAATTACCATTAGAGATTTTTGTCAATAATATATAATATGTTTTGTATAGTAAGTATATAGGATCGGTTAACAGTAAATGGGTAAGGACGATATCAAAGGACAGCTTATTTTCCTCAAGTCTGGAGACTGCCCGCATAATGAGTGCAATGTATAATTACAGTGTAAGTACTTATTGCGATAAAGATTTTGTAATTACAAGAAAATTTTTTTTAAATTATAACTCAATTTCATAGATTTATAATATTTTTATTCAGATGCTAAAAAATGATATTCATCCAAGCAATATAATTTAAAGTAGGTAATCACCCTGTACATTAAAAAAAATGGGTTTTATTTTTTTTTTTTGCATTTTCTCAATCCTTCCCAGATAGCAATATGACGTCTTTTACAGTTCTCAAAGAACTCTTATTTAAGATGTAGACGTCAAAATTTTGATCAAAATGAGGTCTCCAAGACGTTTTGAGGACGTCCAATGCGCCACCTAAAGAGTGAATCAGGACTTCATACACTGAAAAAAAAGTTTTTTTCCACCTAGGAAATTTTTCCCTCCAGTAAAGAAACTGGTATACCTGTGTGGAGAATACCAAAGTTTTTTTCCTACACTAATAAGTATGGTGGTTTTTAAAAAACTCGGTTTCCTTCTCAGCAAAATACCAAAATAAAAATATGGCCGACTTAACCTCATTTGACATGTCATTTAACTTAGCATATATTTAATAATTTGTTAAATTCTATAACAAATAAATTATGGCAAAAAAATTATAAAAATAAATTGACATTTGAAAATTTTTAAAACTAAAAAATGCAATTTTTTAAAAATGATTTTTTGGGACAAATTTTTTCGTTAAATAAAATTAAAAAAATGTTAAGTGACTGCTAACTTTAATGTCATTCATTTGACACAGATGCATATGAAATGTTTATGATACGGTGGATCTTTTTTATTATAATTAATAAATTAATAATTATTAATTTATCAATTATAATTAAATTTAAGAAAATTAAATAAGTAAAATTATAATAATTAAATTTAAGAATGACACTGAAGTTAACAGACATTAAAAATTTTTTTTAAATTTTATGGCAATTAAATTATTATAAAAAAAAATTTAATTAAAAAATTCCACATGTGAAAATTAATGAAAATAAACAATAAATTAGAATATACAACTTTCCTATGATCTAAACAAACACGCCAGGACTGTGAAATTGGAGGGAAGTCAGAGAATTGGCGGCGCCACCGCTGCGGTTGCTATGGTAACGCAGTATAAAGTTTTAGCTCCAGAAAAAAATTAGGTATTCTTAGGAGAAAAATACCAGTTTTTTTTATATCAAGAAAACGTATATTGGATATAAAAAAACTTGCATAAAAATACTTTGTATTCTGGGTGGAAAAAAACTTTTTTTTCAGTGTAGAAAGAGTTCTTAAAGAGCTCTTTTTTCTGACTTCAAAAAAAGAGTTCTTCAAGAAGTCAGAATTAAGAGCCCTTTCTGACTCCAGAAAAAAATAGTTTATAGAGGAGACATTTTTAGTTTTAATTGTATTGTAATTAATATTGAAAAAGAGCTTAAATTGAAGACAATCAAGTACATTAAAATATATTTTCTTCGAAAAAAAAAAAAAAAATGGTATCGCTCGCAGCTTAGAATACGATTTTACTAGCGGTCACCCATCCAAGTATTTATCATGACTAATGCGTCTTAACTTCAGTGATGTGGTGTCCTCTGGTCTGCCTTGGCTAGCTGTTCCTAATGAGATAGTAAATTTTTTTTCTCTGCATAAGCTCTTATGTTTACATAAGATTATAAACGACTTATAGCAACGATAAAAAACTTGATATTAACTTTTCTACCCAAAAATAAAAAAAAATACTTTTCGATTTAATTTTTAATAAGTAGAATCACTGAACGTTTTGCTATTTACGATAATATTTTTATAATACAAAAATAAATACACAGCGAAATGAGTTCACTCGAATGCGATTATTTTTATTTTTTTATCATTTTAAAAATTCTTTAATAACGTGAAAAAAATTTTTCTAAGTCCCATATTTTGACGAAGTACAAAATCAGAAAAAAAAACCTATTCAAGAGCTCCTATTCTTGATGTCTTACGAAGTCAGAAAAAAAGAACTCTTAAAGAGCTCATATTTCTTTAATTTTTTTTAATTGAACAGTTGCGTAAAATGCTGCTACGTAAGTCAAAATCAAACGAGGCGTTCGAAAGTTATAGCTATTAAAAAATTTATAAATAATCATCTTTTCGACGTAGCTCGTGAATTTTTGGGCTCAAAAATCAATTAATTAGACGATTTTTGAATTAAAAAAAAAGTGGGAAGTTCCAGGGATGGCCTTTAGGGTCAACTGTTTTCCTAATTGTTTTTTTTTTTTTTTTTTTCATTTTATTTCAGGCTAAATGAAACATACTATACTATCTCAATATTATTAATATCTAAAATAAATTTAATTGGCTTTAAAAAATTGTCATTGTAAAATATCTTATTTTTCATGCTTCTAAAACTAATTGATTTTGAAGTTAAAAATAAGAATGACAGTCTCGATGATTTTTTAAGTGCAGTTTTTATTATTGTTAAAGATAACGAAATTACTTTCATGCCTGTTTTTTATGTAGGTGAGATCTGTATTGTCCATTTCACTTATATTAATAACTCTTGATAATTTCATAATAGTGTGTCTCAAGTATTCGAAGAAGAAACTCTAGCTAATAAAATAAAACTCGAAAAAAAAAAATTTTACCAATTTCAACTCATTAGAAAAATGATCAGTAAAATTTACTTTTTGGTTTTGTTTGCAATTTTGCATGGAACGACAATAACGTCCGGCTCGATCTTTTATGATCAGCTGATAAGATCTCGTCGATTGAACCAGGCTTGTAGTAATGATATGGATTGCTTGAAAATAAACTTCGCTGTTTGCGGTATAGATGGATCTTGCCACTGTATAGATGATTTTTTTGCGTTCAATGGTTATCAATGCTTGGCGAGGGTCAACGGAATTTGTTCTGAAAATAAAGACTGTTTCATTGAGAACTCGATTTGCGTTGATAAAGGGTGCAAGTGTAAGCCGCAATATGCTCTTCAATCTTATCACTGTTTACCATGTAAGTACACTTTTGTAACGATTTAAACTTTGATTACTTACCATAATTTTATCATCTTTCAGCAACATTAGGAAATTTTTGTAACAGCCACTGGGATTGCCAGTTCACATATTACACAGAATGTTCCAATTATAGATGCGTTTGTAAAGAGAACTACATACTCGTGGATTCGACATGTCTTCCTCTTTTAGGAAGCTATTGTCTCGAAAATGGACCTTGTGCAACGGCTCATTCTGTCTGTAAAGAGAATAAATGTTAATGTCAGGATGGTTACATTGCTGTGTCAAACCACGAATGTGTACCGAGTAAGTATATATCTTTTTAATAGACACAGAAAAATGAACAGTTTCCGTTACTATGTAACATAGTAATGGTTACCATTCTACATACACAGAAAAAAAAGTTCACTTGAGCCAAGAATATATTTTTCTTATTCTTAATTATTTTCTTGAGCGAAAAAAAAATTTTTTTTTGATGCAAGAAATTTCACTTATTCCAACAAAATTAATTCTCTTGCTTTAAGAATTCCGTATCTTGATCCAAGAAAATTTATTATGTCGAGAAAATCTTGTTGTTTTGAAAAAATTTATTCAGCTTCTTGCTCCAAAAAATTAAATATCTCGACAGAAGTAAATTTTCATTAATTTTTTTATTGAATAACATATCAAATGGGAAAATCGAATAATATTAAAATTTTTTTTTTTCATTCAATATGTATAATTGCACGCTAAAAAAATATAAAATGGGTATCAAATATTCAAGAGAAAAATTTTCTCGTTGAGAAAATTTTTTTCTTAGCTGCAAGTAGGTGGCGCTGCTTCCCTAAAGTATCTAAAAATCTTGATTAAATATAAAAATTTATTGTATCAAGTATTTATGATAATTTGAATTAAGAAAAAATGACTGCCACCAAGAATAAAATTTTAAGAAAAATTTTAACTTCGGTCAACACAACTTCGATCTTCCTTCAGGCACCCAAAAATTTTTTTGAGCCAAGAATTTTGTTCTCCAGTCAAGAAATTTTTTTTTCTGTGCAGGAGTAAGATCTATTCTTATTTCTCCGAGTACAGCTCAAGCTGCTCAGTAAAAAATTTTTTGTTAAAAAGTGTTTATAACTTTATTAAAAATATGAAAAAAAGTTAGTAGCAAGTTTAAAACTTAATGAAAATCTTTTTAAACGTACTTGGCGTACGTCATTGAGTAGCCCAAATTTTTTCGTGAGCGATATTTAATTTCATATGCACAAATATATAGAAAACGCTAATATTTTAAGCAACTTTCCGGCCTTAGGTCGTAATATACTAATTGTTTTTATACATGTGTATCATAGTAAATTTTAATAAAATTCATTAAAAAAAAAAAAAAAAAACTACGTAAACTAGGCTACTGATATGAAATACGGCACCAGTTTATCGAATTCTAGAACTAATGAAAAAAGTCCGGTCTCGATATATGATTTTGTTCGGGCGTAATCGTTGGTATAAGTGCAATATGGTTGTAATAGAAGCCTTTAAAGATCACAAAATAGCTTGACCTTGACGAGGCGAGAGTAATGCACTACCTCACGCGCTTCGTGCTATGAGGCGTGCAATTTTAGTTACAAATGTGATGAAAATTACATTAAATAAATTAATATAAATTTTTTCAGGCAGATATTGAAGACTCTGGCGGTGAAGATGTAATACCAGTACGCAGATCAATGAAAGGCTTACACGGTCACATCAGTCGAGGAAATCGAAGACACGTGGACCACGTAGATGCCAAATGGGATACCTCTGACATGGATGTCGACGACGCTCCTGCCGCATCATCCAGGCGCGCACTTTCAAACAAAGAACAAACGAAGGATTCTGGAAAATCTTTGATCTTGCCTAGCTTGACTTCTTTGTTACCGTATGTTAAGACAATTCTTGTAGAAATAATCAAGCAAATAGGCGGCACTAAGTTTGAAAAACTTGGTCAGGATGCACTTGCTTTGGTCGAGGATCTTGTTGTACTTATATCCAGTTAGGCATAGAAAATAATCTAATTTAATTAGAAATAAAAAAATATTGTGTGCAATATATTTGAATATACCTGTATATCACACAATTGTATATGTTCATCATATATTATTTTGTGGCTAATATAATGTTAAATGTTATAGATTATTATTGATAATTTAAGATATATACTGAGGATTATACTATTTATTAAATAAAACTTCATGTATACTTTGATTATAAAATAAAGAACATACTTTCATTAATGTCCAATGTTTCCAGAGAAATTTTAATGAAAACTACTGTTGAGCTTTAGAGTGTCCCAATTTGGAAGCAAGTAAGGTAAAAGCCCCCATTATTGACACTATAAGAGTGATCATGAATATTTGAATTTTTTTATCGTGTTTCAAATCAATATTGTCAACTTTCTTTTTACACGCTTTTTATTAGCTTCACCTATACGCATTTACATCTTTGAATTCAGTAGACTTGTTCATAACATATATGAACGTTTAACTTAGAATTTTAAGTTTAAACGTCGTATAATAACAAGCTGCATTTCAAGAAAATTCAAGGTTAGATTAAGAATTACCATCGACCTATTTAGTTGAAGGACATGGATTTTACATTAGTTCTGCTGGTTCTCTAGTTTTGTTTTGCGTATTTAAATATTTCATTAATAAATATAAAGATTTTCATTAAGTTTTAAACTTGCTACTAACTTTTTTTCATATTTTTAATAAAGTTATAAACAGTACTTTTGATTTTTGAGTTTTTGAGTTTTTTGAGTTTTGAGTTTTTTTGATTTCATATTTTCTTTTTAAAAAACGATTAATTTTTTTCGAAGTCTTATGAACGTGGACTTGGCGCGGTTTTTTACAGTGAAATTGTTTTTGTTCGGATTTCACATCTTTTTGCAAAGTGCCAATGTTATTCAAATGAGTCTTATGAACGTGGACACATCCTTAAATTATTATTATAAATATATTTTTTATGAAATATAATAATTTTAATCCTGTATAGAAAAATCTAGCCCTTAATGATCGAAACAGATAATCTCATAGTTACGTCTGGCATTCTAAAACTTGGCGCCTAAAGTTTACTTATCCATCAGTTACTACAGTGTATGTAAAATTTCTCGCGTCGCACTCTCGTGTGTAAAAATAGAAACTGTTAAAACTCAATTTTAGACTGGAGTTTCCGGTCTACCTATGAAATTACTGCACATAAGCATTTTTTATAGTCTATGGATGTCAGATTTTGCACCGAACAAAGTTCTAAAACTAAAAATTTACGTTGCTATAGTTTGTGCTGCTTAAATTTATTAATTAAAAATAGAATTAATTAAAAAGTATGTAAAAAGTAAATGATTAACAATTTATTAAGATGTAAGGTACCGGCGGGTTATAAGGCCTAGCTAAGGGAAATTTTGAAAAATCGAAAATATTGCATTTAATTATTGAAATGTAACGTTAATTTTTATATTAATACATTAGCCACAAAATATAATGAAGTAATGGTAATTTTCACCATAAACAAACAAAAAATTGAATGTTTTCAAAAACCTTGCGAATAAGCCTTATTTTACTACGGTACGGTAATAAGGCCTGCGGATTAAACATACTGGAAATAGTAATACTAAAATCAATAAAATTGGTATTATAGATCAATCATCACTTAAATTTAGCAACAATACTTCTTAAGATGTTGATAAAAATTAGAACAATGATTTTAAATTATTAAATATAAAATTATAAAAAATGTTTACCATTTACTCAAACCGTTTCTTAGGAATTTTTCTACGCTACGTTAGGATATGACGGATGATGAAATATAAAAGACAGGGAACGTTGTATCGGGACTCTATAAACTTGTAACGACATTTCTATGCTAGATGCTTCTACTAGAGAAACCTTCAGCGGAAGCAGTTATTTTAAATAGCATTTCTATCACTTAGGCCTTATTACCCGACAGGCCTTATTACCCGCGGGTACCTTAATCTATTATTAAAAAACATAACTTTTAATATAATTATTATAATAAATATATAAAATTTTCTAACCCTAAAATCAGGCTCTGCTTACGGTATAATACTCCGTAGGCTGGCGTTTGAACGGTACTTGGCGCCAGACTTCTACCGAGTCTGCAGATTTGAGATTGTAACATCAGCTATATTATGCTATATCTTGAAAATATCATAATTTTTTAATTTTTCGAGTAACGGAGTTTATCTTCCATCTGAAACTGTAATAACTACTTAATCTATTTTGCACACCTTACAACGCGTGAACGTGTGGGAGTACTCTACTCTCGACTTGCTACTATGTGACGATTTTGCAATTTAAAATTGTCAATATGTCTAAATTTAAATAGTCAATCAATAAAAAAAGAGATACTTTGAAACCTAGACATATTAAATTTAAAGTCAGGGTATTCTTTTATATTCATTTGTCTAGCATATTTACAAAAAATGTATTTTTTGTCGATATTGTCGTTGGCAAGTACATTTTCTTTCATGCAGCTTTTTTGACGTGATAACGTCTTATAAATTGATGAACACCGACAGCGCGCACGAAAAAGTGTTCCGTTCCGCCTGTTTGTGCGTGCAAGCGAGAGCGCGCAACAAGCGATAGAAAGGCAAGATTAAACAAACGATAGAGTCTTAAGCGTTGGCTTGTGACATATATCTCTCTTCTCGCGTGACGTCAGAGCTAGCAGTTAGAATATTGTTCTATAACTAATTGTTCGTGATTATATTTAAACAAATTATTTAAATTAAATTTTCTAAAACTGTAAATAATGTTTGAAAATTAAAAATTAATGTTTTTAACTAGTTTTAAAAATATTTATGTCAAATAAAAATCAATTATATCAGATTATTATTGTTGATAATATTAATAATTGTTAATAAATAATATTAATTATAAATAAATAAATACATTAACAATAATTATAAACGATAAATTAATAAAATAATTAATATTAATTAATAATTATTATCAATTATCAAATTATTGTATCAATTTTTGATTAATAATGTATCAATAAGTCCTTTTTTTTTTGTTAAAATAATTTTTAATTATTCAAAATTTTTTAATTTTTAAATACAAAATAATGATAATTCAGTGATAATTCAATTCATAAAAGTATGCAATTTTTCATCAATGTTTCGTTATGACGTTATTACGTAAAATTATTGTCCGTAAACCGACTTTACAGACAACCAATTTTTTTCATTACTTTTACTTATATAAGAATGAGCGTATGAGGCGTGCACTAGGATCTTCCAAATTTACTATATTCAGCTGTTCTTTTTTCGTAAACTATCGATACATTCCAATTAACGAATTTTTTTTTTAGATTTTTTGGGAAATAAATGTGATCGTGATATCGATTGCATGGGTGTCAAGCTCGCGCAATGTTCAGAAAATAAAACCTGTGTTTGTAAAACACAAAAACTTTCTCATGATTATCGAATATGCTTGAACGTATTAGGTGAAGATTGCTTATCTGACAACGACTGTGCATCTAAGAACTCAATGTGTCTTGCTAATAAGTGCCGATGCCAGCCCGACTATGTAGCCATTTCTGATTATGAATGCTTGCACGGTTTGTATATCTAAATTATATATGTTTACATTACCTGAAAAGAATAATTACACAGTAAAATTTTACGTCATTGCGTCAAAAAAAACTTGTGTTAAATATTTAACACAAAATTTGTTAAAATAATGACGCAAAATTTTTTAGTGTGTATTCCATATTTGAGAATTATATTCCACAGTATAAGGAGACGAAACTATCATTTTTTTTTGTTCCAGAAATACACTTCAATGTCTAAAGAAGTAATCGATTCCTAAAATTGTCACTGGATAGATAAATTGACAATGTGTAAAAGCAAAAATTGTAAAAATCAGATTAAATAATAAAAAACAAAAAAAAATAAATATTTATAAATTTTTCTGACCTTTTACTAATTTTTTTTTTATTTTTACTTTATACTGAGGATGGAGAATACAGAAAAAAAAATGGTTTATTTGATAAATTTTGACATTGCTGTAATGCTTCGTTGCGTGGCTTAAATCATTTGATCAGCAATTTATTGATTTGATAGTTATAAAAAATTCACTTGCGGTGAATTAGACTATATTTTGTATCAGGTAATTTTAATAAATTGATTCCGCGACTGTCAAATTAAAGAGGATTTAATTATCTAACAGAGCTTTGTGGTAGTATGTTACATAACACAATCAATTTTCATCTATTTTGAAGAATGTATAATTCTGACTGTATAATCATCAAAAACTGAATTTATTATACACGGAAAAAAAGGTTCACTTGAGCCACGAAAATATTTTTCTTCCTAATTATTTTCTTAAGCGAAAAAAAAATTTTCTTTTCACACAAGAAATTTCACTTATTCCAATAAAATTAATTCTCTTGCTTTAAAAAATACGTATTTTGATCCAAGAAAATTTATTTAAGTCAAGAAAATCTTCTTGTTTTGAGAAAATTCAGCCTCTTGCTCCAAAAAATTTAGTTCTTGATAGAAGTAAATTTTCTTGCCTTGAGAAAATTTCTCTCTTGCTCCAAAAAATTAAATATTTCGACAGAAGTAAATTTTCATTAATATTTTTATTGAATAACATGTCAAATGGGAAGATCAAATAATATTGTCATTTTTTTTTCATTCAATATGTATAATTGCACGCTAAAATAGTATAAAATGTGAACATATATGCGGACATATATGTGAACATATATGCGGGCATATATTTAGCGCAAAATAAATATATGTGAAAATATATATTTGCATATATTTTTTTCGCATATATATTTTTCCATGCGGGGTATCACATTCGAATTGAAGCATAGACATCTACCGACAATATTTACCAAAGAAATAATTAGTACCTACTACTAAATATTATTTGGTGGAAACAAATATTTATTTCCATATAAAAAGGCTTTGATTATATTAATATAATTTATTTAGAATAAAAAAATCATTTATTAAACTGTAGCAAATAATAATGATGGATAAAAAATATTTGTTTCTCCCAAATAAATGACTAGAAATTTTTTTACTAAATCAGCTTAGTACTCCGTATTAAATCCTTCTATCAGTGTGTGTAAGTGTGCGCAACTCCATTATTTATAAATGGAGAGGGCGATGACTCTATACATTACCTGTGCAATGGCTCGGCCAACTTTGGCAGTCATCACAATAAATCCATAAACCATAATCAAAAACCAAGAACTAAAACTGTAATAATTCACAGTGATTTCTCCCTTGTCATTTGCGAAAAGTGAAAGAATAATAAAGTACAAATAACACACACTCGAAACGCCAAAGTAAAAAATGGTCATCAAAATTGGTGATCCATAAAAATTTGAAATCAGCTCGGTGATTTTGAACAGTTTCCCGTGAACATCTCTAATCTTGGTGATTTCATGCGTGATTTGTCTTCGTAGCGGCACTTTAGTAACAAATAACGTGTGTAACTTTATATCACTATCTACATCACCTAACTTCAAAATGGTTGATTGAATGCTTTCGAATTGTTTCATCACAATATCTAACAGAAGTGAATACTGCATCAAAACCCAGGAGTGTATCAGAGCAGGAATAAGCCTGATAGGAACCAAAATTGGCTTGTACACAAGTATTTCCAAGACCACCAGGTAAGTAGTCACCAAAAAATTGCTAAGAAATATCCAGTAGATAGCATGGTTGTCTCTGAAGTTGTAAAGCTCGCACCTTTGCAACAGACTGCTTGAAGCTGCTAATTTATTGAGAATTCTGATCATCAATTTTTGATGCATCATGAAAAAGATCCATATTAAAGCTGTAGCGACTATCCTTAAGATGTGCACGTTGTTTCCGACTGTTTTTGCAAAAGCGGAATCAGGTTGATCTTTTCGCGGAATAAGATCTTCATATGACCACACGAAATATGAACAATAAGCGATGATCAATGCAAGATTGTAAAGTGTTCCAGAAAGTGAGTGTTGAATTACATAACTTTTTTTTTGTGTACGTTGAAAGTTCGTCCACGGTGATAATCCAACAATTTTAAAAATTATGTATTGAATTGTTAGTGGGATGCGGTATGAGTGATCATCGAACTTGGTGGTATATTGTAAAGTTTTTGGCTGTTGGTTAGTCATGGTGTAAACTATTTGCAAAATGTTACGGATTTTGCATGATGGACATAATGAAATGGATCAATTGGATTAGATGTGACGATAAGATTGATGGGTTGTAGTTGAATGTTTAATATTCATGAGGATGAACGCTGAAAATAATTTATTGAGCTATCGTGAGCTTGATCGGATAGAAATATGGAAAGTTATTACGTTAACATTAGTTTGTGTGCTGATAAAAAATAAGTGTTGGATAGCAATAAACAAATTCGATATATTTAGCAAGAGGGGACAGACGCAATTGGTTTTTCGTGTGTAAAGAAAATACACGGAAAGAAAAATATGGGAACTATTCCCATAATTTTATGGGAACAGTTCCCAGGTAATTATAGGAACTGTTCCCATAATTATAGGAAATTTTCCTAAAATTATGGGAAAATTTCCCATAATGATGGGAATGGTTCCCATAATGGTATAGGAATTGTTTCTATAATTATAGGAATGATTCCTATACAATTATAGGAACCATTCCCATAATATTATGGGAAATATTCTCATAATGATATAGTAATGGTTCCTATATCATTATGGGAACTATTCTCATAATGGTATAGGAAGGATTCCTAAAACATTATAGGAATCATTCCTATACCATTATGGGAATCATTCTCAAAATAAAATAAAGATAAAATCTTCGTGCGGTGTGAGTTCGAAATGGCTCCTATAATATATACACGAAAAAAAAAAAATTGAGGCAGCCACATGATTTTCATGTTGTAGGCAATCATAGTTAAAACAACAATAATAATGAAATAATTATAATAATAATAATCTATATTATTAAAAGAATAAGGAAAATTTTTTGGCCAGTGTATTTATGGCATAAAATGAGTTTTTGCTTGGAGTTGTGCCTTTTCAAGGTTTCATATCATTCTCACCAATAGTCAATTTATTATAATAAGAATTTAGGCTGCATTCGAAAATGCTCTGTGTCTAGATACATAATGAAGAAATGACCTTGTATCTGGTAAACTATTGACATTTTTGAAGATATAAGCTCATCCCGATGTTACACTCATCAAGAGCTTTCATTTGAATACCCACATGCATTCTTAATATATTTTTCATATATACATATATATAAATATATAAAATATATGAAAAATTAATGTGGGTACTCAAATGAAAGGTCTCGATGAGTGTAACATCGGGATGAGCTTATATCTTTAAAAATGTCAATAATTCACAAGATTCAAGGTCATTTCTTAATTATTGACATTTTTAAAGATATAAGCTCATCCTGATGGGTCATTCCATGTCAAATCGACCAATAGTTGGAATCGACCCCTTTCGATTTGGACGAATTTTGGTCAGAAGTTTTCTTTTATCATATAACGAAGTTCTGCAAAGGAAAAAAAATAAAAAAATTTTTTTCAAAAGATATGCAAACTCAAAATTTCGCGATTTTTCCAGTTTTTCAATTTTGTTTTTGTAATATCTCGAACGCTAGTATAGATACAGGAATGATCTTTCATTTGTTTGAAAGGGGACACTTGGAGCTATTGAAAAAAAAATATTTTGGGAAAAAATTTTGAAAAATGCCTAATTTGTCAAATTTTGAATTTTTAAAAATCGTCAAAAATGACGGTCGACAATAAATTTTTTGCTCAAATATTTTTGTATACTACCTTGTACCAATCTTAAAAGATCCTGAAATTTTTGGAACTGTGTTTTTTGTTTTCTCAAAAATATGAATTTTTGAAATTTGTTAAAAAAAAAAAAATTTTTCTCAAAAATTTTTTTTTATTTATAACTTAATTGACTTTGATAAATCGCGTAATTTTGATGTTCTGAACAGTTAAAATGTCATTTAGAGGCATAACGATGAGAAAAAAATAATTATAAGAAAAAATTTTTTTTTAACAAATTTCAAAAATTCATATTTTTAAAAAAACAAAAAACACAGTTCCAAAAATTTCAGGATCTCTTAAGATCATTACAAGGTATCACACAAAAAAAATTGAGCCAAAATTTTAATGGCGGTCTTCATTTTTGACGAT